AACAGAGCTTGAGAGAGGAGGAAGCTGTCTTGGTAACAGAATGGCAGATGTAAACTGCCAGATGTTATAGAACCACTACTTAATGCTGTGGTGTTATTGGCTATCATAGACTTCTTACAAAGAAGACTTCAGGAAGATCACAGAGGTTTGGCAATTAGCAAGGTAAATTTTCTCTTAGGGAAAAAAAAAGATGTCATTTCTCAGGGAGTAAAGGCAACATCATAAACATTAAGGAAAATGTACATTTTTGTTACTAAGAAATCAATTTCCAGTAAGAAGGGTTTATCCAGAGGAACACTGATGTGAGGCAGGGATGACTGGATAGCCCACCGTCAGTGGACAGAGACTGGAAAGCCCAATGTTGGTGAAGTTGGAGAGGTTTTAGGAAACAAATCAAATTAATGCACTCACTGTGCCCCAGGCATTTTTCCAAGTGTTGGGATTTAGTGAGATGAGGCTAACCCCTCATAGGGTTTATATACTCCTTTGGGGAAGAGGGAGGTGTGTGTTACATGTCATTGAGTTGGCTCCAACATCTGGTGACCCTATGAATGAGTGATGTCTACAACGTCCTCACCAGCCCTGCTCAGCTCCTGTAGACTCATGCCTGTGGCTTCTTTTATGGAGTCAATCCATCTCATATTTGGTCTTCCTCCTTTTCCAAGTCTTGGGTTGACTGGTGAACAGACTGGTTACTATGTGGCTGTGCTGGGCAGTAGTTCAAAAAAAAGGAAGGAGCTGTGCGGATTGGGATAGGACAGGCCTTTGAGGAGGGCTTTGAAGGCCAGACCAAGGACCCTGGTTCCTCTGAGGGGCCATGATGGGCTCTTGAGCAGGCATGGAGTGAAGATGGCTTCCAAAGGACACTATTCAAGTTATGATGTATGCAGTAGGGTAGATTGGACAAGAGAGGTGGAGAGGGCCTCAGGTGACGAAGGCTCAGGTGTGGCAGTATCTGAGCCACCCTCCAGAGAAAGCTGCAGTGGGAATTGAGGATGAGGGAGAAAATGACTCTGGGGGTTTGAAGGTCTAAACTGACCACAGTTTCTCTTCAGCTGCCCGGGCTGCTGCTGTATCTCCTGGGAATTTCCCTGTTGGGCTCCTGTTTCCATGACTGGGTGGGGAGAGTCCAAGGCACCCAGAGATGGTTAAAAAATTACTCCCTTTGGGATCAGCTCTAAGAAACTAAGTCGGCTTAGAAACCAGAGTCTTGTAAACTTCCTCTGCTTGATCTGACCTGTAGAAATTTCAGAGTCCTTGTGAATGCTCCAAGTGTGGGGACTAAGGATTTCTCATCATTTCTCAGGGGGGAGTTTACTGGAAGATTTTGCTCAGGGTTTTCAGTAGAGCAGTAACTACCAAAGAAATTTTAGATGGCTCTAGGAGGAGGAAGAGGAAGCAAGTGAAAGCCAAGAATGTGTGGCCTTTTGAAGGAGAGGCCAAGGCTAGGTAGGATTCAGGAGAGCCCCTGACTCTAGCCCTTCTATCCCAAAGATCTGGAGTCATGTGCCTCTGGGCTGTCCCATGGGAAATGTATTAGCCCTTCCCACCCACTACGTGTGGCTGGAGTACTGCACATCTCTAAAACCCTGTTAGTACCCCCATTGAGGAAGGGGATGCATTCCAGTGACCCACTTTTTATCAGTTCAGATTCATTTGGTTGCCACTCACACTGGCTTAAACCATAAAGCAGCTTTATTGGTTCATATAACCAAAAAGTCTAATAGTTGGTCCCCTTCAGGTATGGCTTGCTCTGAAGATTCATGAGACCATCAAAGCTACAGTTTTGTTTTTCTGCAGGTCTCTTGGCTCTCCTGTCTTGCGGAAGTTAGTTGACTGGCCTGGGTTAAGTGCCCGTCCCTGAACCCATCATGGTGGCCACAGGCATATTCTAATTAGCTTCCATCTCAGAAGTTTGCCGACCCCTGGCTTAGACCCATGCAGGCTCACCCTTAAAGCTGGGGTTGGGTCCCCGCCTCTGAACCAAGTGGCTACTGTACAAAGGGGAGGAGTGGAATTGATACAAGGACAGCTGACCATGATGCTCCCTGCACCCTCAGTTGTCCAAAACTGCGTATCCCACCTAAAAATAATCTAATCAGCTTAGGGAAGCATTATAGGACTTAAAGGGGTAGAGTGTGAATTGGGACATGTGAAAATCATGCTGGTCCATAAATCCCAGTTCCTTTCTCTTTCCTAACCAAAATGTCAAGAGTGCTGGAAAAGTGAAATGTGAATCTATGTTAAAAGTATATGTAAATTGATATTAAATTAATATCTTTTAGAGATGTCAACCCTAAGAACGATGAGATCAGCTATCTCCCCTGTAGCACTTATTTTGGACTGCCTGATTGGTGCAGTCCACAATGCACTTACTTGTCATTCCATGTAACATGTTTCTTTTTTTTTATAGTTACAATTTTTTTCTTGCAATAAAACTTTTAAGATCTACCCTCTTAGCAACTTTCAAATATATAATGGAGTATGATTAATTATAGTCACCATGCTGTACATTACATCCCCAGGACTTATTTATTTCACAACTGGAAGTTTGTACTTTTTTACCCCTTCACTCATGTTGCCTGTGTCTCACCCCCTGCCTCTGGCAACTATCACTCTGTTCTAGGTATCTGAGTTCAGTATTTTTTGTTTGTTTTGTTTTTAGATTCCATATATAAGGGAGGTCATTTGGTATTTGTCTTTCTCTATGTAGCTTATTTCTGCTTCAGAAAGTGGCAAGAATGATGAGAATGATGGGATAAGTGTGTTTGAAGTGAGGGGGAGTATTTTGAGGGGGATTAATGGCAATGTGTCTTTTACTGTAACAATATTTTAAATTTAAACATTCACCGTATCTTTTGATCACACTGTGTGTGTGTGTATACATACATACATATATATATATATATATATATATAACATATTATTTATCCATTCGTCTGTTGATGGACACGTAGGTTACTTCCATGACTTGGCTATTGTGAATAATGTTGCACTGAACATGGGGGTGCATATATCTTTTCTAGTTAGTGCTTTCATTTTCTTTGAATAAGTACCCAAAAGTAGGTTGCTGGATCATATGGTAGTTCTATTTTTAATTTTTGAAGGAACCTCCATACTGTTTTCCATAGTGGCTATACCATTTTAGTCCCATCAACAGTGCATGAGGGTTCCCTTTTCTCTACATCCTCATCAACACTTCTTTGTCCTTTATGATGATGGCCATTCTAACAAAAATCATGGTTTTGATTTGCATTTCTCTGATGATTAGTGATATTGAGCACTTTTTCATGTACCTGTTACCCATCTGTATATCTTTGGGAAAGTGTCTATTCAGATCCCCTGCCTATTTTTTTGTCAGATATTTTGATTTGCAAATATTTTCCCCCATTCAGTAGACTGCCTTTTCATTTTGTTGATGGTTTCTTTTGCTGTGCAGAAACTTTTTAGTTTGATGTAGTCCCACTTATTTGTTTTTGCTTTTGCTTTTGTTGCCCTTGCTTTTGGTATCAAATACAAAGAATCATAGCCAAGAATGATATCAAGAAACTTACCATCTATGTTTTCTTCTAGAAGTTTTATGGTTTCAGGTCTTATGTTCAAGTCTTTAATCCATTTTGAGTTCATTTTTATGTATGGTAAATGCTAGTGGTTCAGTCTTATTCTTTTGCATGTGGCTGTCCAGTTTTCCCAACACCATGTATTGAAGAGACTGTCCTTTCCTGTTGTCTATTTTTGGTACCTTTGTTGTAAATTAATTGACCATATATGCATGAGTTTATTCCTGGGCTCTCTAGTCTGCTCCATTGAACTATGTGTCTATTTTTATGCCAATACCATACTGTTTTTGATTACTATAGCTTTGTAATATAGTTTGAAATAAGGAAGCATGATGCCACCAGCTTTGTTCTTCTTTCTCAGGATTGCTTTGGCTATTCAGGGTCTTTTGTAGTTCCACACAAATTTGAGAATTGTCTGTTCTAGTTCTGTGAAAAATGCCTTTGGAATTTTAATAGGGTTTGCACTGAATCTGTAGGTTGCTTTGGGCAGTGTGAACATTTTAACAATATTAGTTCTTGTAATCCATCAACATGGACTATCTTTCCTTTTATTTGTGCCTTCAATCTTTTTGTGCAATGTCATAGTTTTCAGTGTACAGGTCTTTCACCTTCTTGACTAAATTTACTCCTAGATATTTTATTATTTTATGCAATTGTAAACGTGATTGTTTTCTCAATTTCTCTTTCTGATAGTTCATTATTAACATATAGAAACACAACTGATTTTTATTTATTGATTTTGTATCCTGCAATTTTATTGAATTCATTTATTTTAATAGTTTGTTGGTGGAATCTTTAGGGTCTTTTATATGTAATATCATGCCTTCTGCAAATAGTGACGGTTCTACTACTTCCTTTCTGATTTGGATGCCTTCCATTTATTTTTCTTGCCTAATTGTTCTGGCTAGGATTTCTAATACTATGTTGAATAAAAATGGTGAGAGTTGGCACCCTTGCTTTGTTCCTGATCTTTGAGGAAAACCGTCAGTTTTTCATTGTAAACTGTGATGTTAGGTGGGGGTTTGTCATAAATGGCCTTTATTATGTTGAGGTAGGTTCCCCCTATAGCTACTTTTATAAAAGTTTTATCATAAATGGATGTTGAACTTTGTCAAATGCTTTTTATTG